ATAGCCATACGGCACTACACTCTTGATCTGGATTGATTATTTTGTGGCGTGAACAACCAAAGACTGAGGAAGAACTATTTGTTAAGGCTATCCCTAAGGTTATGGCTAGAAAGAACTTCAAAGCGCGGAATAAAAGTAGCAGAAAGTTAAATCCGGCGTGTGTTGTTTTTTTTCCAACCTGTAAACCAACACTAGATACTACAGTGCAATGCAAAGAATGCATGGACACGCACTCTACGTCAGTTTTTAATGTGCAATCAATGTATGCCAGGGCCATAAATAAACAAACGGTCGCTCTGGCGTGTGAAAGAAAACCCTCAAATTTTGCTGTTTTAGAATTACTGGTGTCAGGTTATCAGAACCGCTTCTGAAAACATCTCGTAGACGAACAATCGTTATGGTCCCGATTTTTTTAGAAGATTGGGACCGAGGCAAGCAACAAACGAGTTGGTTTTTATCACACCGAGCCTATGATCACTGTTATCACTTTGAAGGGACTGGTATACTTACGTATACGTTCTTCTGCCTCAAATACAACTTCTGATCAAATGAGAAAACATTGGTCATTCCTAGAACTTTTGTTTCCGAAAGAGCAAAACTTTTTTTTAAAAACAACTAATTATAGATATTGAAACACTTGCAAAATAAGGTTAATTATCTCATAGCTGAGACTCGGATTTCTATTTGCTGAGACATGGAAAAAAGCAATTATGGTTAATTCGCTTTGGACTGCCGACCGAACTGACCTAAAGTTATTTGAAACTATTTTTTATTTAATATCAATCTTTGTTTTGCTTGTTTATTTCCTTTGCGTTGTTCGAAAAGTAAAACAAAAAAGAATCTTCAACGGCGCAAAATTGCAATTTCAATTTGAAGTCCTTCATTGTCTGTTCTAAGCGCTAACGACGTAATGGGGAGTGCTAATACTGTTAATCATGTTTTTCCAAGAGCGAATAGCATTCGACGAAGTAAAGAATTATCAACAGTATGTCCACCCCTGCAGTCCAGTCCAGCTTCATTTCAGATAACTGAAATATGTTTTAGAGAAGTCCTAAGAAAATACGCGCGCTGATTACCTAGGCAGTGAGGCCTGGGTTTAAATTTCGGCTTTTTTTTTTTTTTTTTTTTTCCCTCGTTCAGTCACAAATCGCCGTCTGGTCTCTAAAGCGCATGCGTCACCTCTGCATACGTAAAGCAGATGGAA